ATTTTGGAAGCTGTATCTTTTTCTTCTGTCATTTAAGAGTAAAGTTGTTTGGCATATGGCTCCTACACCCTTAAAAACTTGCTTATAATTGCTGTAGTTTCTCATATTCATAAACTGCCAGTTGAATATGGTACTTAACTGTTTGCTATTACATCTTGATATGTTATCATACAAAGTAAAATGGAATTTTGCTTTGCAGTTTTAATTTTTAGATGTAGATCAAAAATTTAGCATTGATAACTACACTTTGGACTTAGGAATTTAGGAGCTTTGTTAAAATGTTAATAAGCTGGAATGAGATCTTAGTTATAATCAATTATTGATAAATAAAAGGTCTGTGGTCGTCTTTTCCCTATGATCAGTTTTTCATGGACATGTTTTTTAAGTGACTTTCTGAGGATTTTTTTTTTAATGCTTCCCCCAACGAGTTATTCCTCAGTTGAATGTTCGTTGACAATTACGACTTCTACAAAGTTGATTCCATAGGAACCTTTGTTTCTCCAACTTGTTCTGCTTAGGGACTGACATCCAAAGTACATTTCTGGCACTTCTCTGGTGGTCCAGTGGTTTAGAATCCATGCTTCCACTGCAGGGAGCCTGGGTTCAATCCCTGGTCAGGGAATTAAGGTCCTGCATGCCTTGTAGGATAGCCCTCCCCCCCCAAAAAAAATCATTTGTACCTCAGGACTGCAGTCAGATTATGTGGCCTGCTGCTTCATTCTTGCTGGTTATGTTTGCTTTCTCAATATTTCAGTAAAGTCAAGCTTCATGATATGTGGCATGGTAAGAGCAAAGATTTTTCTTAAAAAGTTGCATTGACTGACTAGAAATTGTCCATATGTCACAGTAATGGCCGTCAACATAGATTTCCCTCACCCCACATGCACACACAAATGTGGCTTGGGGTGTACACTGGTATACTGCTGTTAGTTGTTATTCTTTTAAATTTGTTATAAAATCCACTTGGGCATAGGATGAGGCAGTGTTTTTATGTGGTTAGTGGGGTGAGTTCTCTGTTGTTTGTTACTAAGATAGTATCAGATGAACTGTTAAGGAATTGCTTCTTTCTAAAAATGTGTGTTTATCTACTGGCCCGTTTTATGATGTCCTTCTGGGCATTAAGCATGCATTAAAGTGCTGGGTTAGATTGATTCGGAATAATTTCTTTTTTGAAAGAATTTGTGCCAATTCTTTTTCCTCTCCAAAAGAAATGGTTTCAGAGCATGGGCTTCTTGCCTAATGTCAATTCCATAAGGCTTCTCTGTTGTGGGGTGGGTTTTTTGTGGGGTTTTTTTGCCTTGTTCCCCACCTTCCCCTTGGTGGACTTTGCCATTAGAAAGATGTGTACCTACAATCAGGCATTTCTTTACTTTAGAGTTATTTGTCATTCCAGACAGCATGGGCCAAAAGAACAGTCTTAAAAGGGGAGGCAGAGTTATATAAATTTTATTCATAGTTAAATATTTGCTCCCAGGGAAGGTGAAAAATGCTTTGTACTTTTTCCTCTGGCTTTTTTCTTCTAAGAGAACTTGAAATGCAACAACAGAAAAGAAGTGGCCAAAGGCTGAGAGAACTCTTCTCTTTTTCCATGTTGGTTTGTTTTTATTGTAAGACAGACCTTTCATGTTTTATTGTTACGAGGTTTAAACCTGGCCTAGAGGTGCCAATCTTTAGTGGAAACAGCTGCGCAGTTGGTGTCCCCTGATCAGGTGGGACTTTCTTTGAAGCAACATGTTGCCTTTTAAAAGAAAATTGAGCATGTGAGAACTTGAACCTGTGAAATTCATCAGCAGTTCCACCATTATTTATCTCTTAAATAACCGAGATAGCTAACTTAAAACGTTGGCATTTAAACATCATCTTCTGTGGTATTTTTTCTGAAGGGGGCAGACTTGGTATTTTGTGTCTTAAAAATATAGAAATGGAGGGGAAAAAAAATCACTCCTAAGAGTTAAAGATGTAGCAGCTCAACTTAAGAGCATAGAGTGTACTTCTCCTTCAGGCTAGTCTGAACTGTGATTTTGATCCCAGTTTATACTTGCAGGTAAATGCCTTTAATAGGGCTTCCCTGGTGGCTCAGGTAGTAAAGAATCTGCCGGAACTGCGGGAGACCTGTGTTCAATCCCTGGGTTGGGAAGATCCCCTGGAGAAAGGCATGGCCACCCACGCCAGTACTCTTGCCTGGATAATTCCATGGGCAGAGGAGCTTGGGGTCGCAAAGAATCAGACACGACTGAGTGACTCTCATTCACACACACACGCACAGGCACGCACGCGTCTTTAATAGTAGCAAAGTTGAAGTGGTCGGGCATATACCTGAACTTAAATGAAGTCTAGAGGGGAAGTCTAGAGAGGAAAGATTTTCTGCTTTGTCCTGGTTGATGTTGAAGCCTTTCTCCTCTTTGTGATAGCTGGTAGCAGTGGCTTTAGCATCGCTCTTGATCTCCTGTTAGGAAAAGCTGAGCATCAGAGAGCTTTCTTTCCGTGGGGGAAAATAGAGGCAGGCATGGAATCAGAGGGACAAGGAAAGTGCTGAAATATTTTCCTTTTGGGCCTTTGATTTGTTTGCCAAAAAATTGCCTTCCAGATGGAGAAGACCGAACGCTCTGATTGTGAGCCATTGTGTTTGTACTGGCCTACCTCCCCATCCCACTGCCTGGTTTGAAATCTGTGGGCCAGTCCAAATTCTTTACCTCATTTTCTAGGACCAATTTACTGTCTTACTCATCTTCCAGCTGCAAGGGGGTGAGGCGAGTTACTTTGAAATGGAAGCCCATGCCATTTTAGAAAACCAAGCAACAGCAGACTCCTGCTGGGGAGTATCAGTCGTGATGGCTGCGTCTCTGCAGTCCTGGCGGCACACCTTCCCAGTAGACTTGTGTCTGTGACGTGTGCCGCAGGAGCAGCCCGGGGATGGATCTGAACAAGCCCAGCTGGCCTTGTGTGGGCTTGTTGGAGCCCTGGTTGCCTTGCGGCCTGGGCTGTCACATGGAAGGCACGCTTTGGTTTTGGCTGAATCCTGCTTCGCTGGCATTAGGAATCTCGATACTCCAGTTTCCCTTGGGAGGTATCAGTTGTTCAGGGGTTGAGGCTGTAGGGGATCTAGTGGCTTCGGAGTCTGGCAGACGTGGGCCCAGTTCACTGCTCTTCCACCAACTAAACATGTCCTTGAGCAAGTTATTTTCTGCATCTGGAAACTGGGGGATAATACCATGTCAGGGTGGTGTTTGGTTTAAAAGATAATTTCTGGTGGAGTAGGGAAGGAATGTTGGGTACCCGTGGGAGAGACTGATGTTTGTTCCTTTTCCTTCTCCGTATGTCAGCCTGAAAGAGGTTAACCATTGTGGTCTGTAAACTGACTGGTTTTCCATCACTTCATTAAATTGCATGGAAATTGGGATGACATGAGAGATCTTCAGATGTTGCATTTTAAAGCTGGGCAACAGTGCCTAGTGCAGGGCCTGTCAGACAGTACAAAGTAATGATTTTTAACTAAAATTCATATTTTTATAGGATACAGTCATAGGAAGGAAACGCATCATGGCCACATGTAGAGGGTAAGAGAGAATGATCAGAACTCATTCTGGGTAATAGCATAAACACTTCCATCAGCCCAGCATCAGCTAGATTGTTGCACAAGAGAAGCACAGAAGGTGTGGGCTAGCTTACTTTCTTGAGATGAAGCTCTCTGTGTTTGGGGCAGAAAGGTCAGGTTTGCTCGCTGAGGAGCACTGAGTGTTCACACTGCCTAGCCTACATTCATGGTTAGACAGGGATTTCAGCAGCACATATTGGAGAACCAGTAAGGCAAGTGAGAATTGGGACCTTTATGTGGTGCTTAATTGTGGAGAAGTTGGTCAGGGCTCTGTTGGACCATGGGGCAGACACTTAGTAAAGAACATTAGGATACTCTGAAAAGTCTGAAAACAATTATCTGTCAAGTCTGAGGAAAAAACAGGTCTTGGCTCTCTTTCTTGGCATGTATAACTTTACTTTTTTGATAATGGAAAAACAAGTTTATCTCAAAGTTTGGGACATGTGTCTCTACAGTATGTGAGGTGATTTTTTTCCTAAAGTGGTACCACAGGTAAATGTTTTTATTTTAATCGTTCTGCATTTGTTTAAAACGTGCCTTATTGAAAAAGTATAGCTAGCACTCAAATCTGTGATTATAGATGCTATTTAAGTTGAAGTTGAATTTATATAATTAAATACTCATTAATGGTTTTTTTCTTTTTTAAAGAAAATAAATTATGACCAAAGCAATAGAATGACTAAGGTTGAGAAAGATTGGTCAAAATGACGATATAGCTTTTTTTTTTTTTGGCCCCAAGCTTAAGGTTCCTGTGAAGTTTGATTTAAAATTAGGTATTTAAAGTTTTTTTTTTCTACCAGATCACTAAAACAGGGTTGCACTTGTTTTTTCATCTTGAAAGATGGTGGTTAACAGTGCCCCGTGAGTCAGCGAGGAGAGGGGATTGATGTCCATGTTTGAAGATGTGCTTTCCCCCTGTCTGGACACTCCGACTTGTGACAGCCTTTGGCAGCTCTTCTGGATCGCTCCTTTCCGTCTTCCTCAAAACGTCGCCATCACTCAAAATGCTGAAATAGCCAGGGGAGCTTCCCGCTGAGGGTGTTTACCTGACGTGCAGGCCATGGAGTGCTGGGGGAAGGTGGAGCGGGAGCCTAAGGTGATGGAGGCTGTCTGCAAGCCGTGCAAAGACAGTCTTTTCAGAACTGTCTCCTGGCTTGTCCCCCCACCCCTGAGACTCATCTAGACAGAACGCGGGGAGAAAGTTCTTATCCCCTTGTGGGGCAAAGGGGACCACAGGCATAGACAGAGCCTCTGACGACAAGAAGGAAAGTTAGAAATGAGAAACTCGTCTCTCTGCCAAGTTAAAAAAATCTGTCTTGTGGCTGTTCACATTTATGAAATGTTCATTTAATTTTGTCAAGTTACTATTAAGGTGTTTAACATGTTTTTCCTCTCTCTTTTGTAGGTACTGGCTTTGGATTAGGACTTGTTTTCTCACTTACCCTATTTAAAAGTAAGTGTGCCTTACTACTTGCGCGCATAACGTCCTAGTGTATACGTACTGGCTGCCAGTCCATCCATGTATGGGGTTAGGTAAAATGAGCTAGACGAATACAGTAGGCTCAACAAAGGTCAGAACGGGGTGGGCATCTCCAGAATTCCCCCTGGGCACTAAGTCAGGGAGCCTGGTATCTTAAATATGATATCATTAAAAAAAAAAAAAAAAAACCTGTACTTTATGCAGTGAGTCGTTTGGCCAGATCTACACTGTCAAATAATTCTAATTAGTTACAATTTTTTCTAAAGCAGCCTGAAAACAGAAGTCCTGCTGGTAATAAAATGAAGTGGACCAGAAATAAATATGCTTTTTGGCTAGAAATTCTCCTGAGCAAAGGGCAGGCAGTGTCCCTTTCATTCGGTGGGAGAACTTCTGAAGTTTGGCTGTTGAATAGAAGCCATGGGGGTCACTTTGACCTCTTTCCATGAGGAACTGGTGGAGAATACACAACCGGAGAATCCCGGTGAACCCAGTGCTGATGTGAAGTAATCATCTGTGGCATTAGCTTAAATAAACCTCATGACTTAGTAGAATCAAAATATGTGAATACTGGTGAAGTTCTTACATACCTTAAAAATTCAAAGACCTTACTGGTATTATTTATGGTAAGTTTTAAGAATTAGTTAAAATGAGCAGATGATTAGAACTGGCATAGAAAAGTTAAAAGGTTCACCTGTGTCTGCTGTTTTCATGTTGTACCTCTTATTAAGACTTCAAGTCTCGTAGCATGGGTACTTAATTCATCCCCCTCTCCCTTTTTTGGACTGGTGATGAGCCATTGACAGAAATGTTTGGCATATAACAGTCATCAGCGGGATGCATGTTGAATGTTTACTGAACCCTAAACACATGTACTGAAGCCAGAGGAAAGCTTTATTTTCTCTTCACGGTTCCCTCTTGGGGTTTTCCTTTTCTGCTCACCAGGAAGAATGTGGCCATTAGCCTTTGGCTCTGGAATGGGATTGGGAATGGCCTACTCCAATTGTCAGCATGATTTCCAGGCTCCGTACCTTCTTCATGGAAAATATGTCAAAGTATGTACAGAATTGATAACTTCTCTTTCTTCCTCCTGACTCCCCAAAGAATTCTTTAGAGCGCAGATAACTGATAAATAAACTTAGGTCTTTGTGGCACCGCTGAGCTCCTAAGTGCTCAGGAGCCTGCCTCGACTTGAATCATCACAGTAAAGCAGATTCATATCAAATATCTCCTTTCTGTAGGCAGCACTTTTGTTCAGGATCTCAGAGTGCCCAGTAAACATCTTACACACGTTCAGGCTAAACCTAAAGACATCTGAACTCAGTTATGCTTCTGCTTTCTGCTGAAGAGGGCACGTTCTTGACTGTGAGTCCTGCCTGACTCTGCTGCAGGCAGATGAGTTTCTAAGGATGCAAACAAGATGCAAAAGTTTTAACGCATGCTGCAAGTGAAGGGACGTATCATGTTTCCTAAAAGTTTCTGTGCATAGCAGCCTCCGGACAGAGATGCTGTTTATTTTTGTATCCTCGGGGCTTAGAACAAAGTAGGTGCTCAAATAAATGTAAAATAAATGAATGAAGTAAGTTGTATATCTTATTAGATGTGCTCATGGCCTCGGGGCCTCAGGCTTACTAAGGCATCACCGTTACACAACACCACCTTCATGAAGAACTCGTTCTCAGGGTGTGCAGAGTCATCTGCCTTCTTGGTTAACCTCGAGCTAGAATCACTGGTCTGGGCCGCAGCGGGGACCAGGGGAGAGAGCCCAGAAGCCAGGACACCCCCCGTGTGTGCTTTCTGGGTGCTCTAGAGTTCTTCCCTTCTTTTCTCACTTATGAGGGTGGTAATTTCTGCCTACGGGATTGCTGTGCAGATTAAATGTGAAAATACCTTCAATCTCTGAGGTGCTATATAAACAGAAATATTGGTTATTACAGTGGAGGCCAGCCGAGAAAGGGTGACTGACTCATCCATTGTTCCACCGTAATAACAAGCAGGGCAGAGAATGGGGTACAAATGAATGTCCCAGCTTAGTAGCCCCTGTCTGAGAAGGTGCTTAGACTGCCAGCTGCCCACTGGCCAGCCTGCGGGCCTGGGGAGAGGACTGGGAGCAGGGGAGGTGGGAGAGCCTCGAGCAGGCCCGCCGTCGGTCGTCATGACCCGCCCCTGCGCCACGGCCAGGGTGGGTGCCCAGGGGCCTGCGTGCGGAGGGCAGCTGCGTGGCACCAGTGCTGATGGCAGGCAGTTTCCCTGCTCCGGCTTCTCCCGTCTCGCCTCGCAGCTGAGTCTGGAGGAGAACAGAAAGGAACAGGGAGGGGAGCTTTAGGTCTTTTAATTGTGTGAGATGTTTTCATTGTTCCAGCTGAGTTGTCATGGATAAATGGCTCAGGGGTGATTACATGTGTATATGTTTAATGGCTGGAGTTACTGTGGAAAATGCCGTTAGAGATTGCACAGCCTCCTCGTGCGTGCTGCTCCAGCACGGCCTTGTAACTCCATCTGGACTGGGGCCTGTGCCCCGATGCTGTCACCCTCTAGTCTGGAGGGGAGCGGAGCCCCGGCGGGGCTTCTGCAGCGTGTCGTAACACAGGGTGACGACTGCCGGGCGACGACTGCCGAGCGCCTGCCACGCCCCGTGGGCCCCCTGGGCACTTTATCTTTGTGTTCTCCTCCAGGCCTCTCTCCCAGGAGATCTGCAGCAGAGGTTTTATGACCCTCATTCAGCAGATGAGAAAACTGAACTTTACCGAGGTTAGGAACTTGCCAAAGCTCCACGCATTAGTAGGCTGTTTGATTGCAGGGCCGTGCTCTCTCCACCCACCTGGGACCCATCCCTTTGATGGGTTTTAGGAGTGAGTTATCCAGGGACCACCTGTCAGTCCTCTCGTGTTCCTTTCCTGTTCTGCCCTCAGAGACTGAGGAGCCACTCTGAAGAAGCTGGTGGGATGCAGACGGTCCTCTTGTGAGTGAGACAGATTTCAGGCAAACGTTGGTAGGGCCCTCTGCGTCTGCCCCGCAGCGGCGGGTCAAGAGAGGCTCGTCAGAAAGCCGTGCGCACCTTCTAACGGAGTGTCCTTCCTTTCCAGGAGCAGAAGCAGTGATTCACACCTGAGAGCGTCCCAGTGGGAGGGCAGGAGAAACCACGTTTATTCCTCAGGAATACTGAAGTGCCCTGGAGTGAGCCGGCACTCTCCGTAACCGCGTCACCAGTAATGCTTTCAAGTCAGCACACTGTGTATGTCTTTGAAACCAAGTCTGTTTCTTGTTTTGTATTTTCTCTCTGGAAATTGCAAGGAGGTGGTCTTAAATAAATTAAACTAAAATCGGCAGCCCAGTGCGTGGCCTGCGTTTCTTTGCCTTTGGTCTTGTGAGCAGGAGGAGTCTGTCTGAACTGGCAGCAGCTGTAACCGCCTGGTCCTAGCCTCTCTCAGAGCCTTTCCGGAAGCACAGCCATGGTGCGTTCCTCCCCGCTCGTCCCGTGATGTGTAGTTTTCAGAACTGCTTCCACCTCATAAATCGGAGGTTGGAGAGTGTGGTGTGTTGTCCGAGGAAGAAGATGAACGTCCAGAGGAGCCCCGCTTGCTCTGGCAGTTAGTTCTTTAAAGCCCGTGTGTCGTCCTGACCATTGGACCCGGCCGGCCCGTCTCAGCCGCGTCTGCTGTGCTGAGTCAGGCAGCCGGCTGTCTTGGCAGGTAGAAGCCTCACTGTGGTGGTGGCTCACCCCATCGATGTCCCGGTTCCTCTTAACTTCAGGGAGCTCGGCGCCCACCGACCAGGCCTCAGCACTGGGGGCTTTGGCCCGGGGACTGGGGAGGGGTCTTGGCTTACACGGCTGGCCGGGAGGCCGTGTTTGGGGTTGATTTCATCTTCGTGTGGCACCAGAAGTCCGAGGACAGAAGGGCCACTGATGTTGCCTCTCTGTGAGTCTGTCCCTTTGGTTTCACCTGAATCAGGGGGGCTAGACACAAAGCGGGTATTATAGCAGATTATTCTGAGAACGCGCAGAGCCTCCGAAGTCAGGCTTCCGTATCTTATTTCTCTCTATTAATGAAATTAAGATGGGCAGGACTTGATCCCACTCGTCCCTTTAAATGTTTACTGACCATGTACAGTGAGCTCAGTACCATTACAGGCAGTGGAGATAAATGGATGAAAGACAGGATGCCCTTTGAGGAGCTGAGAGGCCGCTGCAAAGACAGACAGGCAAACTCTTTTGACGTTGGCTGAGGAGGGGTGTGGACAAAGGGCAGCCAGAGCGAAGGGGATCCTTAGGATGGCCTGGCAGAGGAGGAGGGGATATGAGCGCCGGCTTGAAGTTGATTGGACCTTCCAGGCAGGAAGAGAGGGGAGGTAGCTTTTGCACAGGCTCAGAATCACGGCAGGGTGTTTTTTTGTCGGGGAGCCACCAGGAAGTCAGTTTCGCCAGAGTGTGCAGGGGCCACAGAGATGTGGGGGAGCGGAGTGAGCCTTAGGATAGAGTTGGGGTCTCTACCAATGGGGAATGTCGATTAGACAGTTTTTGCAAGTATCGCAGTGAGCAGATTCAAGAACGAACGACCTTCTCCCTCCCTTCCTCAGCCTTCACCCCGGCTCCCTTCACAGAAAGGTGTGCCGCGCTCTAGACCACAACAGGCAGTTTGGGCCCCACAAAGCGTCCAGGCTCCTCTGCTCTCGGGGGTTTTTCATTTCTGTGGATCACTTGATGCCCACAGATGGGCTGGCCCCCAGGACTGTAAGGTCATGGCTCCCACCTACTACAGCCGTTCTGCTCTTTCTCACTTCCCCTCTTCATTCCATGATCACGCATGCTTGCTCAGCCGCTTCAGTCATGTCTGACTCTCTGCGATCCCCTGGACTGTAGCCCACCAGGCTCCCCTGTCCCTGGGATTTTCCTGGCAAGAATACTGGAGTTGGGGTGTCCTCCTCCAGGGGATCCTCCTGACCCAGGGATCGAACTTGGGTCTCCTGCATTGCAGGCCGATTCTTTCATCTCTTAACACTTGTCATCTCCATACTTGCTTTAAAAGTTACTATTTCCCCCGTCCCCCCAATTTTCCCATCTTTATTCAGGCAGAGAGACTAGCAGGTCCCGTTTCCAAAAAAGAAAAACAAAAGACAACCGCCCTCTAATTCTCCAGATATGCCAGCAGAAAACAGAGTGGAAATGCACACTGGAGTCTGACTTCTTTCTCCATCTCATTAATTGTTAGGTTTTAGGCTTTTATTTGCAGGGATCCCTTTGCCTGGCATCTTGGAAACACCACTCCTGTGTTTTGAGAAACCCCACTGAGCTCTGTGGGGGAGTAGTTCTGGGCAAAGGCCAGCCAAGGGAAGCACTGGCTGTTTGCTTTCCCCGCAGAGCACTTTGTATTCCCGCCTTGTACTCCGAGCAGAGATGGGTCCCACATGCAATGCTCCATCTTGTCCCGTCTCCCGGCCCCCGTCTCAAATCAGCTTTCAGAAAGTCCCGGCACGCTGGCAAAGGCTCACATTCTGTTCTACTTAAAATTTCATTAGAAATTCACATCCTCTGGAGCCCTGTTCCCTTGTGGGCTTGTGAAGCTTTGTTTCCTGCCTGCCCTCCTGGAACCAAATAGCAGGGAACCCGGGGGTTTGGGGAGAGAGTGGTGGGGACCCCGCTGGGCCCAGGAAACCAGGATGAAGCTGCGGCGCCCCAGAAGCAGCCTGCCCTGCCAACACACATAAATACGCGCGGTCTGAATATGACGCTGTGTAATTTGGCCCAGAACAATATGTATTTTGAACTCATTTATGTGAATGACTTTGGCGTTTGGGGACCCACTGGGGGAACCTTTATCAGGCTGCATTGGCCTTGTGCAGAGGTCTGTCTTTGTTCTGAGAAGTGGCCTCGGAACACACCCTCTTGAGCTGTCTCCTGGATTGTCATCCCCTTGCGCGTTTCAAAAGATCCGCGGATGCGGTCTTGAAATTCTGCCTGCAGAAAATGCAGAAATTGACAAAGGCAATATCTATGTACTTTTGCTTTTCCTTTTCCCAAACCTCACTGGTTACTTTTTTTTTTAATGTAACCAAGCCATAATTACATTTTACTTGTCGTGGTTCAATCTGATTGTATTGTTGAAGGACTATTTTTGAACCTGTCCAAATAAACTCTGCAAAGTCTTTCCACAAGGATGTTCTTCACGGGGCTGGAACAGCCTTCATCCCGAGTGGTGCTGAGACAAACCATCTCCTGTTGCATGCTTTCTAATTACATAAATGCCAAGGGGTGGAAGGGAGAAAGTGGAAATTCTCAGTACCAAAAGGCATGTTAAATTTAGAATCACCAGCTCATCTGGAAGCCATCACCACTCTAAGTGTGCCGCAAGCACCATTTCCCCTTGGACACCACCAGGGGTGATGTCAAGCTTAACAGCCCTGGGCAGGAGCAGGGCAGGCGTCCCCGGGCTCGCTGAGCAGCCTCATGCAAGCTGAGTGTGAGAGTCGGGGTGACCGCTAAAGCGGTGAGGAGCCACAGAGTGGGGGCAGGGGTGAGGAAGAGGCGGGGCTGACTGGAGAAGAGCGTAGGGTTCCCAGGCGAAAACCGGGGTCCAAGTTCCTGCTCCACCACTCAGCTGGATGTGACTGGGGGAGGGGGGTTCCTCAGTCTCTTCAAACTTCCGTTTCCTCTTCAATAAAGAGGGAAAGGTCATCTCTACCTTACAGACACTGGGGGTCAAGTGTATACTCTTAACACAAGTATCCAAAAGGGGATGCTGCTATTTGAATCAGTACAGAATACATGGTGTTACTGGTTGGTAGTCGGGGCTGTTCTAGAATGCTGCTGCTGCTAAGTCGCTTCAGTCGTGTCCGACTCTGTGCGACCCCACAGACGGCAGCCCACCAGGCTCCCCCGTCCCTGGGATTCTCCAGGCAAGAACACTGGAGTGGGTTGCCATTTCCTCCAATTCGTGAAAGTGAAGTCGCTCAGTCATGTCCGACTTCCTGCGACTCCACGGACCGCAGCCTCCAAGGCTCCTCCGTCCATGGGATTTTCCAGGCAAGAGCACGGGAGTGTGGTGCCATTGCCTTCACCGGTTCTAGAATGAAAAGGGCATCATCCTTGGGCTCAGGGAGTTGGTTCTTAGAGTCTAAGTTAGTGAGATCTGAGGGAGAGAACGGGTATCTCCAATGAATTCCTGGTAATAAAGAGGCTGAAAATTGTTGGAAAACACAATGCATCTTCATGAAGCATTGAAGATGTGAAAACACAATTCATCTTCATGAAGAGTGTCATTAGCGCTCTACTCCACCGAGACACACCCGAACGAGAAAAGCCTCCTGAAACTCCACCCGAGTGTCTCAGGCCAGAATCGCTGAGCGCAGGGCCTCAGTGCTAGACCAAGAGGCGGAGGAGGGGAAAGGGCACTGAAGCAATTCAGTGGGAACCCGAGACCTCCAGCAGCTTCTGGTGGGGCAGGAAACGGACAGGACCGAACGTCCGCACTCCAGGTAACTGGCTCCAGTTGTGTGATCCTCACTTAGGGCGCTCAGAGCCAGTAGATGTAAGTGGAGGAAGACGATGTCAAGAATCCTGGAGGAATTCAAGAGTGGGCAGAAGCTGAGTCTTTAATAGGGAAGAAACTAGGGCTAGAAAAAGGAGCTCATTATCAACTGTCAGTCATCTTTATTCCTGGTCTAGCCAGTTTGAGCCTGGCAGAACGTAATTTGATCACTTCAAATGAATATATAATAATAGTTTGTATTTATTGGGCACCTGCTCTGTGCTAGTCATTATTCTAAGGCTTTATGTACATTGTGATGCTTACTTTTTACAACAATCCTGTGAGAGAAATACTATTGTACTAATTTTATAGATGAAGAAACAGGTTTTGAAAGGATAAGTTCACTTGTTCACGGACAAACAGCTAAGAGGTGATACAGGCAGGATTTTTATCTGGTTCCAGGACCCAGACACTCAAACTGCTCTGCTATCTGGTTGAAAGCTGTTTAAGCTGGAAAGGATCATACATACATAAACAGGATTTGATACAAACCTGATGGAATTAGTAATCGAAGTCAGTGTCACTGAGTTTAAGTTGATAAGAACAAGTCGATCAATTTGAAATTAGCTATATTT